GGCATGAGTGTACGGCCCAATGCAACCTGGACCTCCTGGGCTCAATGGATCTTCCCACCTCAGCCGTCAGAGTAGCTGGGACTATAGGCACGAGCCACCAGGCCTGGATGCTTTTTGCATTTTTTGTAGAAACAGTGTTTCACCATGTTGAGCCAGTCTCAAACTCTGGGCTAGGGCGATCTCCCTGGCTTGCCCTCCCAAGAGTGCTGGGATAATAGTGATCCACCACACTAACGCCTTTCTGTATGTTTTCTCTGGAATGTTCTGATCTTCCAAAGGCTGCCTTCTTTTTTGTCAATTCTGTTTGGCTGAGCTGTCACTTCTCACAGAGGCCCAATTGCTCTCATCCTGTCTATTGTAATTTTCCAGGTAACACTTAAAGCTCTTCATGAGATTTTATTTAACCATTTTTTTATGGTGAAATTTAATACAGATATAGAAAACCACATAAAAACAATTGTTTAACTTAATGGGTTGCCAGAAGGTCAATACCCCTGTACTCAGCACTCAGGCTAGGAAATCAAGCTTTGCTGCTTGATTGTGACACCAGCCTCAGTCCTCTTCCTCCCTGTAGAAGGAGGTGTGGTCCCGCCGCTTGTGTTGACTCTTTCCTTTTCTTCCTGGTTTCCTCCTCCATACTTCCATAAGCATGGTAGTTTTCTTATACCTTATTTTCATTACTGTTTTTCAGTCTACCTTAAAAAATTTTTACTCAACAATCTTCCCATTTCTTTTTTGGTTACATTTTATTTAAGAAACCACGTCATTGGTCTGTAGAGTTTCTTGTCTTCTGGATTTTGTGGATTGCTTTGCATCCCTCTGCAGTTTCTCAGGCCCTCCTGTAATTCCTGTGAATGGGTATGGAGAAATACTGATAGAAATCCTGTGATGAACGGAATGTATATTGGAGTTGTGGGTTGTGGCTACTTGGGGCTACTGAGCAGTTTACATTTGGCTAGTGAGATGGGAGAACTAAACTTTAAATTTTATTTAATTTCAAGATATATTTAAATAGCCACATGGTTCTAACTTCCTGATGGACAAAACATCCAGCAGCTGGATAAGATTTAATTTTGATTTTTTATTTGTCAGCAAAGCTTCTTCCCAGGTAGTGGTGTTTTATTAGGAGTCATATAAATACTGGTTGTGTCCTTTTCATGGTATGAGATGGAGAGATGGTCTATCTAATCTGCCATACACTGGGGGGAGTGGCCAGTGATTTCGACTTTGTGGCATAGGTGGAAATTTTCAGGTTTTCTAGGTGGTAGGCAGAGGCCTCAGATTTTAAGAAACTCCCCAATTCACCCCTGCCAACAAAGTTGTTGCTTGAGGACAGTCCTATCAGTTTTAAGTAAAAGAGATTGTTTCTTGATGTTGAATTTCAGGTAAGGAAGCTAGCTCCTGCATATCAGGGGTGCTTGGGCTGAGACAGGTCTAGAGGGCACAGTCTGAAAAGGGGCTCAGGGAAGTAGCTGTGAAAGGCCCCTGGGATGTTTTCTGCCCCCATCTCTGCAAATCCCCTGGAGGGAGATTCTGTTAGTCACTATGGGGTGTGTGTGTTTTTGTGTGTGCGCACACATGTTTGCCCTCATCACTTGTTTATGTTTTTGTTTTTGTTTTTCTGCATAAAGTCTGCAGACTTGCCAAAAGTACCTTGATGTTTTCTGAAAGCAGAGCCAATGGGCACACTCCAGGGCCCGAGGCCTCAATTTTGTGTTATTTGTTCGGGACTGGTGTGTACCTGCAAACTGTGTGATGGGATCAGGGCCAAAGAACACTAGTTTCTGTGCTCTGTTTCTGTGTAAAAAAGACATTTCATTCAACAGGATAACAAGGCAAGTCTGGTGGAGAAAAGGTCTGCTCTGCCATAGGATGGGGCAGCAGCCTGCAGTTTAGAACACTGTTGTGTGTCTGGAAATTTCCAGGGTCTCCAGTTGCTGGTAGAGGGCCAGAAGGTAGGGCACATTTGTCTGCAGATCGGGGGGAGGGGAGCGGTTCTGTGCACCCCGACACGATCTTGGCCATGTGTGGACCCTTGAATTTGCAGGGTTGGGTGTTAACTCCCTTACTGGGAGATAAATTTCACATCACTAAGAACCTTGTTTATGTTGATCCAAGCAATATCCCAGCGCTTACACACAGTGTGTGGCGTGTTTGCTAAGGGCTCAGGTATTAAATGGGTATTGAATGAATGGATGTATTAATTAGTTTACTCTGGAGTCAAAAATAAACAAGGTCTCAGCTCATTTCAAAGACTCAAACTCTTGATTAATTCAAATGACCGTACTCTAATTTGTTTCTCTTTGCTTTCTCAGACTTGCCATGGCATGGGAGGATAGGATTTTTTCTTAACTTACTTCAATATTGCCTTCAATAAAAATGTTTTAAAATCTTTTTTCATAGCAGTGCTTTCCAATATTTTCCTGTATAGAAAGTTCAAAATTCTTCCATTTTTAAAGTCATGGATATCTGTTTTTGAGTGTGTTGTTAAATGCAGGCACTATTTTGTAACTTTAAATAGACACCATCTCAAGTCTACAAGAATCATCCACAGTGGTATCTAATGACATCTCTAAGTCTTCAGACACTATTAATACAGATTGTAGCCACTAAGTCCTGAGGATTGTACTTGATGTTGGTTACTAAAACTGAGCTTTCTTGGATTCTTTTTCCTTCCGCTGTGATTTCTCGCATTTCAACATATCACCTATTCTTGTCCTCAAACTTTACTGAAATATTTCAATGGAATTAAATTAAATAGGAATCATTTCTCCCCATGTTTTTGAAATGACCCTTTGCTTCTTATGATGATTCTTCTGGTCCTTTTTGTAATTATTTATATTAGAGTTTGAAAATATTCATACATTTTACGATTGTATATAATTTTCTTCTCAATTATTTTTTCCCCTTCCCCTAAAATTGTTGTTATTTCTCTTAACTCTTTGTGGGAAAAATTAAGCCCATTTTTCACTTTCTAGATATACTTATTTATAATTGGACTCCATGATTTTTGCTTAAGTTGCTTTTGAAGTTACCCACATTTAGGGAATCTGTTAGTGTATCAAGCTTTTTTTTGATTGTTACGTGTATCAAGAAGTATAGACTTTTCTATATATAATATCCATTTTCTCCCATGGTTTTTTTTTTTTTTTTTTTTTTTTAAACTCTGTTAAGATAAAAGTCATCAAAAGATCTCTTCCTAAACCTTTCCTGTACCAGAAATATCTTTGGAGTCACATGGCCCTTTCTCCCTTCTTGCTTTTGTAGGATGCCAAAGCTAATCTCTTCCTGATCCAGATTGCATGCATCTGTGCCTTTTGGGGGCCCTTGGGAATTTGTTCTTCCTTCTCTTCTAACCTCAAAAATGTGTTTTGTCTGTTGACTCTTCCTGTTTAACATATAATTATTCTCACACATTTGTTGAATCTTGGAATAAAAGGCTTTCTTTACCACGTATCTCCCTTCAACTACTACTACATCTCTATTCTCAGCCAAATACTTGGGAAGAGAAGCCTTAAGTTTGTGTCATTGTTTTCTCACCTCCAGTTCACTACTTTACCCCCTGCCTGACATCCATATTCACTCCCTTACACAAGTCCAATCACTTAAGTTGCCACAGCCAATTTGTAGCTTTCCTGCCTTCCTAGCAAAATTTGACTCTGTGCATTGGGATAATACTTACTGAGTAGCTATTGACCAGGCACTGTGCTAGGTGCTGCTGTTTCAGAAATGAAATTAGGCATCATCTCCTTTCTAATGACTCACAGGCGCAGCCAATTTTGACTCCGGGTGCTCACTTTTTTTGCAAGCTTTACTTAATGTCTTATAAATCACCCTATTCTCCAGGTTTTCTTTCTTTCAATTTCTCCTTACAATATACAACTTCTCAAGACAATCACTTCCACGCCCACAGCTTCAGTTGCTTTCTCTATTCTCTGAGGACAATCAAATTTTAAATTTAAAATGTTAGCTTTATTTTACATAAGATTCCTCATTTGCTATAACCATAGATTCAGAGTTACTCCATAAAAGTAATTTAAAAAATGGTGATATTCTTAGCATGTCAATTTTAGGAAATTTCCCCAGTTACTCTTAATGGTTTGATTTACTACGTGTGTTATTTTTGAAAACGTGTTGGGATGTCACAAATGGTCTTAGCCTACAGAGATTTAAATTCAACTTTGACCAGAGAGTTTTATTTTAATGTGACACTGAGAGTAAAAAACGATCTTTTCCTCCTTACCTGTTTCTCTTCCTACATTCTCTGCCACGAGAAAGGTACAACTCTATACGCAGTCTTCCCCAGCAGAGCCTGAGCAGCCCCGTTTTTCCCTCCACTTCCCCACTTTCACATCTCATGACCAAGCACTTCCCATTCTGTCTCCCAAATAATCACAAAGTTTTTTCCTCCTCTTTTGTCACTGCCACTGCCTTTAGCATTACTCTTCCTTTAGGTAGTCTCTTGATTGGCCTTGTTGTTTCCTTCAGTCCTTCCTTCTTAGACAGACCACTGCACACACATCTGACAGACAGTCCTCACCTTTGTATGGTTCAATGACTCAAATTTTCAGAATAAAATTAAAACCACCCCAGCTTCAAATTTGGGGTCAAATAGAGGTGGGTTTGTGTCTCAGGTTCATACAGTGTCCAGTAATGTGATCTCAGAAAACTGAACTTCTTAAGCCTTTGTTTGTGTATCTGCCTACACTCATTGAGATTTGGGACTGTTTCACACATACAGTGTCTCACATGTAGAAGGGACTTCATCAGTGTTGAATGAAGAGGAGGCATTTTAAAATCCACATTTTTTAAAAAAAGATGTTTTTTTAAAAAAAATATGCTGATCTATAGTGTCACTTCCCTTCCAAGCTTGACCTCTACCTGTACTTTCTGATATGGTTTGGCCATGTCCCCACCCAAATTTCATCTTGAATTGTAATCCCCATAATCCCTGTGTGGTGAGGGAGGGACTCAGTGGGAGGTAATTGGATCATGGGGGCAGTTTCCCCCATGCTGTTCTTGTGATAGCGAGTGAGTTCTCATGAGATCTGATGGTTTTACACGTTTGACAGTTGCTCCTTCACATGCTCACACTCTGTGGCCTGCCGCCATGTAAGAAGTAACTGCTTCCCCTTCTGCTATGTCAGTTTCCCTTTGGCCTCCACAGTCATGTGGAATGTGAGTCAATTAAACTTCTTTCCTTTCTAAATTACCCAACCTCAGGTATTACTTTATAGTAGTCTGAAAATGGAACAATACATTTTCTGATAATCATACTTAAGGAATTACGGAATTCATACTACTGGGATCAAATAATGGCCCCAGCCTGAGCAGTCATGTGGCCATTGGGGAGATAACTTACCTTCTCCATCTCAATGTCTTCTCTGAAACCTGTGAGATTGTTTCTGAGGGTTAAGTGAGCATAGCCCACTTGGAACAGTGTCAGGCACAAACTGCTTGCCAGATGTTGAGTATTTATTTTTATTGAGTTAGGACTGTAGTAATCTACTTTACAGCTCTTGATTTTGTATAACAAAATTATGCTTAGTACTTTGTTAGTAAAAGAGAGAAAATCTGAAAGTTGCTGCCATGGAAGGAAGAAACAGAGGGGAAAATAGGCAGTTGGTAAGTTTCAGCATTTCAGAGCTTGAAGGGACAAATTATGTTTCTATTTATGGAGAAGGAGGTGGAGGCAGGATAGGTCCCAAGGTGTCATTCAAGACACACAGCCATAACTCTTTAGTGAGAAGAGCTAGGGCCCCAGGGATTGCTGTGGTCAAGTTGCAGACAAAAACTACTGCTCATTGGAAGATAGGAGAGGAGTATTTTGTTCCAAAAGCAGTGAATAGTTCAGGTGTATCTACATTCAGTCAGCAAATAAAAGTTCAACTTGTTGCTAATGGGACCCACTCTGCTTACTGAGACTATGTACAGAAGTCATAGTGGAAGATGGCTTCCAGTAACAGACCACCCTGTGCTTTTCTTAGAACTAAAAAGCTCAGGAAGATGGTGATGAATGAGAACCTTAGTTCAACTGGCACTGCAGGAGGGGCCAGGAGAGCAGCCGCATCATAAGCCACAGGGTGGGGCACCCAGGCAGCGGGGGAGGGGCGGGCAGCCAGGATGGGGCATTGTGAGGTGTGGGGCAGGGCATTGTGAGTCACATGCCTGGGCTTCCACCTGGGCCAATGGGCTTCAGTCTGTAGGTTACTACAGGAGGAGGAGAAGCTCATTCTGTACTCTCTCTATAGGCAGTTGTTGTGTCTCTCAGCGCTTGTTGGATTCACAACCTATTAAATTAGCCTGCTATTCTTCACCCTCCCAGACAAGTCAACTCAGGCGAGGCGGCACGGTGCGGGCAGGCGAGCAGCAGCAAGACCATCTCTGCAAGTGCAGCATAGTCTCGCCTAGGGCAGCGGGAGTGTGTGGCCAACACTGTGAGCAGAGGCACAGGTGGCGGCAGACAGGAGTAGAGGCGCCCCATGGGGAACATTCTGTTCTGTTTTGTGCGCCCCAGGGTCAGCCCCGAGTTGGACCAACACCAGGGGTCAGGATGTGCTGCTGAGTCAGAAATCTGTGAGGCCACAGCTGAGGACATGGTAGCAGCAGCGCCCATGGCAGCTGCTGCAGAGCCTGCCAAACTGACTTTTGAAGCTGGTGATGCCCTTCATGTTCACCAGATCTGTGACCAGGAGATGCCTGAAGGTAAGGAGGTGACAGTGGCATCTGCCCTGGCCACGCCCTCTTGCTGCTGCTGTCCCCAAGGTCCCCTAGCGGGTATCGCCCACCTCAGGCTCCTTTTTGCCTGTAGTCAGCTTTTCCAGGCCTGGTCAGAAACAAAGGCTGGCTCTGCCCTGACTTCCCATTCCCACCTCTTAGTCTTTCCCCACAGAGTCCAGGCAGTTTCTTTTCTCCTCCCCTCCCAATTGCCCAGTTCTTGCTCCCTCATCTCATTCTCTCAGGCTGGCCTCGGACCATTTATTTATGGCTCTTCTTGTCTGTAGCTCTGTTTATTATTCTGTGGGACTTTGTTGAAGCTTCTTTGGAATATTCTCTTCCTTTTTTCAATAAAAACTCGAATATCCCAACTTTCCACTACCCATCCCATTCTTTTTGTGTACCTATCCAGATGGTATCTAGGTGAAGGAACCAGGTAAGTGCCTAATAGTCCTTTGTTAAAGTAGCTAAATCTCAGGACAATTCATACTGAACTATTTGGGGATTTCTACTTTGAAATCAGAATGAAGGTTGCCATGGGAGAGATGATAGGGTATTCTTAATGGGTTGCTTTAAGTCACCTTGATAGGTGCTTATTTCCTTCTAACTGTAATTTGAACACAAAAGGAAAGAAAATGGAGGGTGCTTAAAATAATTCTGAAAGGTATGAAATGTCATGGCCAGGGCTGCAGACAAATCCATTGTTTTTTTCCCCCAAAGGAGTTTACCCATGAGGCTCTGATTACTTTAAAATTCTTACTTTAACACAAAACATGTCTCTAGATTTATTCTGGTGACTTACCAGACTTTATTTACTTCCTTGTTCTAAAAGAAAGGTAGGGATGGTTCATGGTCAAAACTTTGAAAAGACATGAAATGTCAATGTAGACTTTTAACGTGTAATATAAAGATTGCATGTTAAAATGCCAGACCTTGCCTGTGTAAGGGTGTTTGTTGCCATTGGTGCCCCTTTGTTCTTCCCCCACCTGACAGCAGCATCTTGTTTAAAGATAAGAAAGTAAAGCATAAGAAGCTGGAAGCCATCATTCTCAGCAAACTAACATAGGAACAAAAAGCACACACCGCATGTTCTCACTCATAAGTGGGAGTTAAACAATGAGAACATGTGGACACAGGGAGGGGAACATCACACACTGGGGCCGGTTGTGGGGTGGGGGTAAGAGGATGGAGAACATTAGGACAAATACCTAATGTATGTGGGATTTGAAACCTCGATGATACGTTTATAGGTACAGCAAACCACCGTGGCACATGTATACCTATGTAACAAACAAAATGTTACAGGCTTTTTAAAAAGTGCTAATATTGTATAGACCTATTGCTAAAATGAGATTTACCTTCCCTCAGTTATTTTGAGCCTCATTCTAGGTGCTGAGGGCAAATGGAAGCACATAACTTATCTAAGAAAACCTCTTGTTTTCTGATACACAGCATCAGTTGGTAACTTAGGAATACAGTTACGTATATCTGAAGAGTTGTATCTGTTCATAAATATTTCAGTTAAACTAATTGAAGATACCTGCCATTCATATTACACTGTGTTATGTTACACTGCCTGGTAGCACTGCCTATTTTAGGATTGCTCTACCTATCATTGATGTCATGTGAGCTTATGTTTACTAACATATTTTCTAATAATTATGCAAAAGCAATTTGAAATTGTTATAAAGCACTTTTGTTATGCATTTTTTGGGAAATAATTTATAAAATGGGTGGGTAGGAGATAGTGAACTGAACTAAAATGCAGGACCTAACATCTTAAAAAAGAAACCATTACTGTGTGGCTGAAATGTAAAGCTATGTACACATAGACGTAGAATGTATGAGGCTGGGTGTGATGGCTCAAGCCTGTATCCCAGCACTTTGGGAGGCTGAGTCAGGCAGATTACTTGAGGCCAGGAGTTTAAGACCAACGTGACCATTATGGCAAAACCCCGTCCCTACTACAAATACAAAGATTAGCCAGGTGTAGTGGCACAAACCTATAGTCTCAACTACTTGGGAGACTGAGGCATGAGAATTGCTTGAACCTGGTAGGTGGAGGTTGTGGTGAGCCAAGATCACTCTGGGCAACAGAGCGAGACTCTAAGTCAAAGAATAAATAAACACATAAAATAAATTGCATTTGATGTAAGGTTTTGTGAATAGAAGAAAATATAACAGTTAAATATTATTTATATATATAATCATCAACAGAAATACGTCTTCTAACAGAGTATTTCCTTGCATTTTGGTTCTCATATTTTTGCTAAAAGGCAAGAAATGAAAACAAGAAAGTGCCCTTATGGTACTGTTCTGAACCAGAAGATTTTAATTTCAGGACTGCTTAGGAGAGTTTCCTCTGCACCCTTTTTATAAAATGTCTTTAGGCCTAACAAATGATAACCTCTATTGTTATGAATGTTTTTCCTTCCACAGTGTGGTCTTGGATATATATTATCACATCTGGCAAAGGTGAGCTTTTTAAAAACCTGTCTTGTGATTCTGGCTAATTACTTTTCAAGCTATCAAACTCTTTAGGTCACAGCTCTAGATATCATGAGCTGTATTGGGCCTGCTAAAATATCCAAGCAAATTATTTGTGTTTTCTTTGGTCCTTAAGACTCTTTTAATTCTTAAATGATTGGGAATCTCAGAATATGTTTCTATATTGATTATATTGATATGTATTATTGTAGAAGTATAAAATTGAGATGGTTTTTTCAAAATCTATTTTTAGTTTAGATTTCACATCCCTACCGCTGTTGATATCATGAGCTAGATAACACTTTGTTATGAGGACCGTCCTGTGCATTGCAGAAAGTTTAGCAGCGCTGATGACCTCTACCAACTAGATGTCAGTGGTAACCCATGACCCAGGTTGTGACAACAGAAAATATTTCTTAAGAACAATATTGTTAATATAATTTTTTAATGAAAAAATACCTTTTCTACAACAAAATACTGAGTAAAAATTGTGTCGTGTATTTATATTATTAAAAATCACTAATGTTGCACTTAAGAGAAGACAGCAAAAAAAGAAACAGCAGCAGCAATAACATGGCCTAATCTCATGCAAATATGTAGTTGGTAAAAGGTGCATTTTTAAAGCTTTGAGACAGTCGTAGGTATTCTTTAACACTAAGTGAAAACTTCACAAGTGCTACTTTCTTAATTTAGTTACAGTGGCATTTTACGTATTAATAAATTTATGCCATCAATACTCACTAATCTACCTTGCATGGTAAATGGATCTCTTCCCACATACTTGCATTTATAATATTATACATTAGTTATTTGGAATATATTGGTTTATGTTTTATTGTATCAAAAATCACTTTTAGTTTAACCTCCAGTCTTATTTTAAAGCATCTTTAAGTATTGAAAAGCTGTCAGGCCTACAGTAGAAGGAATGAGTTTTTCAAAGTCCTCAGGAAAGCTTAACTTTTATCATTGGGAACAAATGCTTATTTTCCTTGAAGTGACAACCTCACTCCCTTTATTTTTGAGAATGATAGTTGAACTTTTTTTTTAGACCAGGTCTCTGTCACTTGGCTGTGGTACATTGGCATGATCTCAGCTCAAGCAATCCTCTCACCTCAGGCTTCTGTGTAGCTGGGACCACATGGGTGGCACCATGCCCGGCTAATTTATATGTATTTTTGGTAGAGACAGAGTTTCATGTTGTTGTCCAGGGTAGTCTCAAACTTCTGAAGGAGCTCAAGTGATCCGCCTGCTTTGGCCTCCCAAAGTGCTGGGATTTTACAGGTGTCAGCCATTGCACTGGCCCAACTGTACTTTTAAATAAAAATGATGTTCTATGAAAAGGTGATTGTTCAGCTCACAATTAAATCATGAATTTTTTTAAAACACAACCATACTACAGTCAGCAAAAGCGCTTCTTTCTTATTAACTTTCTACTGATTCAGAATATTAAAGACACATGTCAAGATTTAGTAACACCATTAATTTTTACTGCCTCAACAAAAACATTCTTAAGTACTTCAGGCTATCTTTTTTAATTGTAAAGGACAATAAATAATATAATTACTACTAGTGTAATTTTTACCACTGTCTTGATTTAGGCTGAGAAACCAGCAATTTTATTTACTTTTGCTTTTATACACTTATGGCAAGTGTCTATGAAAAAACAGTCAATGTCTTTGTATTACTTTCTTCATTTCTTAAAATTTTTTTAATCAGCTTTCTCAGGTTCAATTAGTATGATTATCAGAATAGTGTCCAGTGGGTGCAGTGGCTCAGACCTGTAATCCCAGCACTTTGGGAAGCCAGGCAGGTGGATCACCTGAGGTCAGGAGTTCAAGACCAGCCTTGCCAGCATGGTGAAACCCCGTTTCTACTAAAAACACAAAAATTAGCTGGGTGTGGTGGTAGGCAACGGTAATGCCTGTAATCCCAGCTACTTGCGAGACTGAGTCAGAAGAATCGTCTGAACCTGGGAGGTGGAGTTTGCAGGGAGCCAAGATTGCACCATTGCACTCCAGCCTGGACAACAAGAGTGAAACTCTATCTCAGAAAACAATCAAACGAAAAACAGTGTTGACCTCTTAGGCCTTCTGGAAAAGGGTCTTGGGGATCCCCAGATATCCACAGAGCACATTTGGAGAACCACTGGTTTATCACACAGGCACAGTGCATTAGTTTTTCAAAATCGAAAGTTTTTCAAAGACTGGCCTCTTTTAAAATAAAAAGGCAGATGAGTTTTTCATTCAAACAACAGAAAGTAAATATATCATGAAAGTATACTACAGAGGAGTAAAAAGAAAGGAAGCTAGGAAATCTGAATCACATTTACATTTATTAAAGTTCTAAAGACTTTATTGCCCACCACTACTGCTTTGTAAAACATTCTTGTGTTTCAATGTGTGGTTAAGAAGAGTGAAAATATGTTTGGTTTATTGCTATTGCCTGTTAGAGAGGGTCAGTACCCATAGGCAGATCTTACTGGTTATTGTGAAGAAGACTTCACAGTACAGGACACAGGTGCTGAGGAAGAAGAGGTCGGGAAACCCTCTGCAGGTCAGGATCCAGGAGAAGGCTCTGTAAAAACTGCTGTGTTGAAGTAAACACCAAAGTACATATGAGGCATTATTATACTAAACAGATATTATACTAAGATATTAACAGTTTTTGAAGTAATGCACATTCTTATTTTATAGAGGGGCAGATAAAACTTTGGACGTATTTGATGAACGGTTATACCCATTTACAGAAAGTGACACTTTTGGTTGGGGTTGTATTTTTTTCATAGACTTGTATTTATATCATGCTGGAGTCAAAGCCATCTTTAAATCTTACCCATTTCATGTTGCAGTAGTCATCTTAAGTGTTGTAAAAAGAGTGTGCTGGAATAAGAACTGATCTGCAGCTCTGTTTAGTTAGTGAGCTAGTATGAGTAAATATACTATCCAAATAACAGAAAATGTATCCTTTAAAAGACAGTTGTCAGTAGCATCAAGCAACATTAGAATATGTAAATCCTTTTAACACAGAAGCATCATTTTTATCAAGAGAGTTAAAAATAATTTAAGTTTAAATAAACTTACATGGTATAAAAATTTAAAAATGTACTTCCTCGGGTACATAATAGCCACATGTGGCTAGTGAGTATTGTGTTTAACAGCTTAGGCTTCGAGCCTCATGGTTACAGGAAACTATTTTCTCAAAATTTATTGCAGAAAAGAATGACATACAATCAGTAAGACATTAAAGCCTATGAGTAGCTTACATTTTGGATAGAATTATTTGGGGCAAAGAGTAAAAAAGAACAAACATTTTCTGAACTTTAGCTCATATGATTTTTAAGTGAATGTTGATGAGTATTAAATCATTACGGTATTTTAAGATCCCACTGTTCATATTGTGAAAACTGAAAGACATTTCACCAACCAAAATTATTGTAAATGATTCATGGCACAAATGTGAACACTGCTGTCTTATGAGCACTTCATGTTTTCTCTTCAATGGATACTTACATTGCATCCTTTCTTCTTTCAGCAAGACCAGCTTCCAGAGGAACACTTTATGTATGATCCTAGACACAAAGTGATTTTCAGATTTGTTCGTATTCTGTTTAAAGCCAAAAAGCTAAGAGCTGAGTTAGCAATCGTAAGTTTGATAAGATATTTTCTATTTATAAAGCATCTTTAGAAATTGGTCTTATAGAGCAGCCTAGCCAACATGGTTAAATCCTGTCTTTACCAAAAATACAAAAATTAGCCAGGCATGGTAGCATGCCCCTGTAGTCCCAGCTACTCGGGAGACTGAGAATTGCTTCAACTCAGGAGGCAGAGGTTGCAGTGACCCGAGATCAAGCCACTGTATTCCAGTCTAGGCAGCAGAGCAAGACTCCATTTCAAAAAAAAAAAATTGACCTTGTAAACAGGGTAGTGTGGTCCTGTTTTTAAATGAAAGTAGGTTTCTGAAATTATCTCAGAACTTTAAGAGAAACTTATGAAAGCAAATACATTTGAGTCAAATCATCATTATGGCTTAAAATGTTGCCATTGCTTTTCTCATTACAGAACAATTGCTATTAAAGGTAGCAGGAGGGATTTCTGATTTCTCCCTGCACACTTCATTGCACACATGCACACACAGTACGCACATACCTGGGGCATGTGGAGGGCTTGGAATGGAGAGTAGTAACAAAACCATCCAGTTGATGGGCAGGAATGGATGCCATTGTAGGTCTAAGCTGAGTCCCAGGGTGTATCCCCGGGCAATTCTGATGTATGTTGTTTCTAAGAGCTACTGCCCTCAATTCTTTGTTCCTTGGTTGTGTCAATCTGGGCAGCGTGGGTAGCAGAAATGTTTGGCCTATGATTGTGATATGGCCCCTTGCTTAACCTAATGAAACAAAATCTCTGTAGGGCATAAGAATAAAAGGTGTTTACTTTCTCATGAAAACCAGAAGTATTCTGGTTTTTCACAAGAGTTCTTATCACAGCACTTCAACTGAGCTAAATCAAAGGCCAGTGCTCTGTTTTGCAGGTATACGTTAAAAGACTTATACGTTATGCTGATCTCGACATTTGTCCAACCAACTGGAAGAGGATTATCTTAGGAGCCATTCTTCTTGCCCTCAAGACTGGGAGTGAAGAGACTGTGTGCCTTGAGGACTACTGGGAGCTCTTTGAGAACCTTACAGTTGAAGATACGTGAGTTTGCACGGTTTTTGTGAACTTTCTAACCATTTTTGAATACTTTATTTGCTCCCATAAACTTAACGCTTTAAGAAATATTTTTAAAGGTTACATTATGCAGATAATAAGAATGGGCATAAATACCACATACTCTTCCTCCCCAGCTTTAGAGCAACAGTTCATATTTTTCACTGTTCATTGGTAGGTCTTGGTAAATTGCTTTTGTAATAATCTCATAAATGGAAAAGTATTTTTCTGGTGAATATTTTTGGCAAATATCTTACCAGTGTACTACCAGAACATAATAGTATGGTAAATATCCTTATGGCTTTTTACAAGCTGTCTGCAAGTTCCTGTCTCTTTGTGAGGAGCACATGTCTGGCCTTTGAAATAATTATTTGGCCATTGACAAGTCTAGGTCCTCTGGATTGTGAAGTATAGCTTCACCCTGAGTCATGCATTGTGAATTTGCTTTTGCTGGTGTTCTGCTTTTATCTAAATATCTATTTTATAGAAACCTTGGATACAGAATAGTCACAGATCTCTGTGCCCCTGTCCCCTCCCCATTAGGAGTCTTGCATCACTGGGCTGATGAGTTAGGAGTTCCAGTGTTCCCCTCAGGCAGTCTGAGAAACATTGCTGGAGCATCACCCAATGCTCACCATACGCAGGAGTTTCTGGGGGCATTCGTGCAACCATAGCAGCACTTGTTGGGGTGGGAGTGGGGGGCCCTATGAGAGTGCAAGAAATCTTGCTGAGTCATGGGGTTGCTCACAGCCAACACCAACATTACACTGAAACAGCAGCTTCATGGGTCTTTCTTCCACTCTGGCCTCCTGAGTGCTGTAAAGGGAAAAGCCTTGGAGCTGGTTGCCAGGGTGAGCCAGGGAGGCATTTCCAACAGGGGCTCTCATAGTGTCCACTAGACATAAAGAATGGCTTTGTGGGTGACACTTAGGAAAATCTGAAGGAACACCTCTTGATAACATTGAAGCATATGAGGCATATGAAGAGCAAGATCTTCAGGCAGTGGCAAGAGGTTTTTGTTTTGGGGTATTTTTGTTTTTTTTTATGTTTGCCTATTACTCCATATAAGACTGTCATTCAGAATGTATGAAGTCACAGAGGTGGAGCCTGATGGCTGAATAGAAGTCTCTGCCAATTATGCTCCCCACAGGAATAACAAATTTAGCAACTATCTAAATAAAGAAGCACCTTCATAAGAACTTAAAATTAGGTAATTGATTATTCTGTGTGGTTTTAACTTCATATCACTGAAAGAGGCACTGAACAGCATAGAAAAGACAGTCTTGAATTGTTGATGCCACCACTATGAACCTCTCTCCTACAAGGAGAGGGGTTACATGCTTAGGGGAGGGAGAGCACAGCAGCTGTGGGGCTTTGCCTGAACTCAGTGCTGCTTTGTCATAGCAGAAATCAAAACAAGGCTGAACTCACCCAATGGCTACCCGTGGAGGAAACGTTGAGACTAGCCCCAGCCAGAGGGGAATTGTTCATCCCTGTGGTTGGACTTGAGTTGTGGAAGCCTGGCTCCTGTGGGATAAAATACTCTGGTATCCTTAATAAACTGAAAGTCTGTCTAGGTCACAAGGACTGCAACTGTTAGGCAAGTCCGAGTGCCGTGCTGCACTTGGAGCCAGTGTGTTTGGGGGCATGTGACTCAGACAGCAGCTGGGGCAGCTAGGGAGTGCTTGCCACCCCTCCTCCATCCCTAGACAGTGCAGCTCGCAGCTCTGACAAAGACCTCTTTCTTCCACTTGAGGGGAGGAAAGAGGACTTTGGTCTGGCAACTTGGATACTAGCTCAGCCACAGCAGAAGAGGGCACTGGTCAGAGTCCTGAGACCCCTCCATTTCAGGTCCCAGCTTCAGGATAACATCTCTAGACAAACTCCGGGCCAGAAGGGAACCTGCTACCTTAAAGGGAAGGACTCAATAATGGCAAGATTCCTCACTTTCTGATGAAAGAGCCCTCAGGCTCGGAGGAATCATCAGTGGTGATCAGGTAGTACATGCCATCAGCCTGGATTGAGACTGAGAGATGTGTTGGCTTCAGGTGTGCCCCAGCACATTCCCAGCTGTGGTGGCTATAAGGCGAGACTCCCTCTGCTTGATAAATGCTGAGGGAAGAGTGAAGAGGATTTTTCTTGAGCTTAGATACTAACTCAGCTACAGTGAGAAGAGCACCAAGTGAGCTGTAGGAGTCCCTGATCCAGGCCTTGGCCCTTCGATGGCATCTCTGGACCTACCTGGGCCAGAGGGGAGCCCACTGCCCTGAAGAGTGAGTTCCAGGGCAGGCAGCACTCACCACAAGCTTACTGAGAGCTCTTCAGGAACATCAGTGGTGACCTTGCACTAATCCCCATGGGACTGCAATGATGTTGTATGTGGGTACAGACTACTGTGCCTGGGGAAAAAGGAGGGAAGAGTGGGAAGGCCTGGTGGATTCATTGCCAGCTCAGCCATGGTAGAACAGAACACTAGTAGATGTCTAAGGTTTACAACTCCACCCTGGCTTCCAGACAGCACCTTTGAACCCACCAGTGACCAGGGAACTTGCTGCACTTAAAGGAAGGACAGAGGCCTGGCTGGCATCACTACCTGCTAATTGTAGAGCCTTGGGGCCTTGAATGACATAGGTGGCAGTAGGTAGTTGTTAGAGTGGGTCTTGGGCAGTCACAGTGCTGTTCGGGCTTCAGACCTAGTGCCATCTGGACAGACCTAGTGCTGTCCCAGAGGTCGTGGCCACAGGGGTGCTTGTATCTGTTTTCTGCCAGCTCCAGGCAGCCTAGCAGAGAGAGACAGGCTTCATTTGTTCACTGGGTCTCTGTTCACTAATCTAGAGAATTCCTCCAGGTCTGATTTCAGACCACCAATGTCGTACCTCCACAAGTCTACAAAAAACCAATGATATTCTTCACAGAAATAGAAATAAAAAATGAATCCTAAAATTTTTAGGCAACTACAAAAGACTCAGAATATCCAAAGCTATCCTGAGCAAGAACCAAGCAAACCTGGATGAATTACATTATCTGATTTCAAATTATTCTCTACAGCTATAGTAACCAGAACAGCATGGCACTGTGTTTAAATACAGTCACATAGAGCAATGCAACAGAGTAGAAAACCCAAAAACTGATTCATACGTCTTCAGTAAACTCATTTTCTATGAAGGTGCAGAGCACGTGCAATGGGGTAATGACAGTCTCATCAATAAGTGGTGCTGGGAAAACTGGATATCCATATGCAGAAGAATGAAACTAGGCCTCTATTTCTCACCTTATGCAAAAATCAAATCAAAGCGGATTAAAGATATAAATCTCGGCTGGGTGCAATGGCTCACACCTGTAATCCCAGCACTTTGGGAGGCCAAGAATGGAGAATCACTTGAGCTCAGGAGTTCAAGACTACCTGGGCAATGCAGTGTGTCTATTTAAATAATTTTTTTTTTTTTTTTTTTTTTTTTTTTTTTTTTTTTTTTTTTAAGATTTAAATCTAAGACCTCAACTATGAAACTAAAATAAGACATTGGGAAAATTCTCCAGGATATTGGACTGGGCAAATATTACTTGTATAATGTTTTATAAGCACAGGCAACCAAAGCAAAAATGGGCAAATTAGGTCCTATCAAGTTAAAAAGCTTGTGCACAGCAAAGGAAGCAGTCAACAAAGTGAAGAGACAACCCACAGAGTGGGGGAAGGTTTTGAAAACTGTCTGACAAGGGATTAATTACCAGAATATTTAAAGAGCTCAACTCCATAGAAAAAAAAAATCTAACAATCTGATTTTTAAAATGGACAAAATATCTGAATAGACATTTCTCAAAAGAGAACACATTAGGCAGGCTTCGTGGCATGCAACTATAATTTCAGCTGTTTAGAAGGCTTAGGTGTGAAAATTACCTGAGCCTGCCAGGTGGAGGCTGCAGTAAGCTGTGATTCTGCCACTGCACTCCAACCTGAGTGACAAAGTGACACCTGTTTCAAAACTCCTTAAGAAAAGCATACCAGCCCGGGCATGGTGGCTCACACCAGTAATCCCAACTCTTTGGGAATCCAAGGCAGGCAGATCACGAGGTCAAGAGATCGAAACCATCCTGGCCAACAGGGTGAAATGCCCTCTTTACTTAAAAAAGAAAAATTAGCTGGGTGTGGTGGTGCACACCTGTAGTCCCAGCTACTTGGGAGGCTGAGGCAGGAGAATTGCTTAAACCCGGGAGGCAGAGGTTGCAGTGAGCAGAGATTGTACCACTGCACTCTAGCCTGCTGACAAACCAAGACTCTGTCTCAAAAAAAAAGACAAACAGGTAAATGAAAAGATATTCAAAATCGATATCATTGATTTTCAGAGAAATGCAAATCAAAATTACAATTAGATATCATCTCACCCTACTTAGAATGGCTTTTATTCTAAAGACAGACAATAACAAGTGCTTGCGAGGATATAAAGAAAAGATAACCCTCGTACACTGTTAGTGGAAATGTAATTTAAGTACAACCACTATGGAGAAGAGTTTGGAGGTCCTCAGAGCTAAAAATAGAGCCACCATATGATCCAGCAATCCCACTGCTGATTATATACCCAAAAGAAAGGAAATCAGTGTATCAGAGAGTTACCTGCACTGATGGATGTTGCAGCACTATTCAAAACAGCCAAGATTTGAAAGCATTGCAGGTGTTCATCAACAGATGAGTGGCTAAAGAAAATTATGCGTAGACACAATGGAGCACTATTCAACCATCAAAGAGCATGAGATTGTTACTTGCAACAACATGGATGGAAATGTTAAGTGAAATAAGCCAGACACAGAAAGACAGGCTTCTCATATTCTCACTTATTTGTGGGAACTAAAAATTAAAACAATTTGACTCATGAAGATACAGAGTAGAATTGTTAGCAGCAGCTGGTAAAAGTGGTATGCGGAATGAGAGGAGTAAGGTGTAATGGTTAATAGGTGCACACATTTTGTTAGAAAGAAATAACATTTAGTATTTGATAGCACAACAGGGTGACAACAGTTTATTTAATTGTACATTTTACAGTAACTAAAAGTGTGATTGAATTATTTTTAAAAATAATAAATAAAAGGATACCTGCTTGAGGTGTGATGGATTCTTCATTTACCCTGATGTGATTGTTACACATTCTAGGCCTGTATCAAATAATTTTATATACCCTATAAATATATACACCTATGGTGTACCCCCCCAAAAAAGACCTTCATTCAGAATTAACACAGTGTATATTTACAACTGAAATGAGGCTTCTTGTAACCAAGAAGAGACTAGTGATGGTTCGTTGCTGTTCAAATGGCTGCCAAGTTACCACTTTGCTAACAGTATAAGCTGAGTTGTCATGGTGATATTGCTAGTAGCCATTTTAGTAAAGGATGTAACAGAAAATGAGAGTACTTTGAAAGTTGCAGAAGCTAAAGTGCTCTTAATCACTACTGATATCAATCTAAACATTTGTTTTTGTTTGTTTGTTTTTTTTTGTGAGAAGGAGTTTTGCTCTTGTTGCCTAGGCTCAAGTGCAATGGCGTGATGTTGGCGCACCACAACCTTCACTTCCCGGATTCAAGCAATTCTCCTGACTCATCCTCCCAAATAGCTGGGATTATAGGCATGTGCCACCACACCTGACTAATTTTCTAATTTTAGTAGAGATGGGGTGTTACATAATATTCAGGGGACTGGATAGACCAATAGGTGAAACAGGAGGATTTCATTAAGGTGGCCACCACCTCAGCAGATTTGCATCCCAAGGCTGAGCTCCTAACAAAGACAGGGCTTGACTTTTTATACATCCAGGATGATGTAGCAGCTAACAGGTTTGCAGAAGCCAGACAAAGAACAGTTAATTTGTGGCATGTCTTGTGATGTACATTACATTTGAAAATAGCATTTTGAGAAACACATTGCACATTCTTTGGATTTTATCTTACCCTGTGACTCTGTTTTTCTTGCAGCTGGTCTGCAAGAAAAACAGGAGTCTTGAGATAACTGGGAATTTTACTGAGAAAGTGGGAAGAGTAGACAAAGTAGATTTTACAGGGAGTTAGTTAATTTCAAGCAGAGCTGGGGGTTAGGTTTTATATTGAACACAACATAGTAAACTGTATTATGTAGCAATTACAGACTACTATTGTTATTATTTAATTTCCCTCTTTAGGGATTTCTCCATGTTGTTTCTCCATGGGTCATGCTGGTCTCGAACTCCCAACCTCAGGTGATCCACCCATTTTGGCCTCCCAGAGTACTGGGATTGCAGGCATGAGCCACTGTGCCCAGCTTGTAAACTGGTTTCTTGAAGGCAGCAAAATTTGTAATTATGAACACTGAGCTCCACTATAGTGGCAGTTAAATTGATCTCAAGACCTGCAGCTAATCTGGTGGGGCTCTGGCTCTAGTTACAAGGTTAGAGAATGCACAGGGAAATGTGCAGGTTTCCATAGATGTGAGCTCCAGAGGCAGTGATGACAGAGGCCAGCCCCAGGAGGACCAATTCTGCATAGTGCCGTTTATGAATGCAGAAGCATCAGGAACTATGCTCTGAACAGGAGCTATGTTCGTGATCTTTGGAAATTGAAAAACATTACAACAGTGTTTAATGCACATTTATCTTGTCCCTCTGCTGTTGATTATTTGTAATGATCTCTTTTTGATGGTAAATTGAACCATTTAAAAATTAATGCCAGATTTCTTCAAACTTTTCACCAACAGCTGTTAATCTTGTTAGAATATATTTTCCTTAAGAAACATTACTAATTATGAGGGAAAGGCAAATTAAAAAGCACAATGTAATACCACCTTTCTCCTGCAAGAATGGCCATAATGAAAAAATAAAAAAATCATACATGTTGGTATGGATTTGGTAAAAATGGAACACTTACACTGCTGATGGGAATGTAAACTAGTAACAACCACTATGGGAAACAGTACTGCCATTCAACCCAACAGTCTCACACTGGGTATCTTCCCAAAGGAAAAGAAGTCATGAAAAAGACACATGCACATGCATGTTGATAGCAGCACAATTTGCATTGTAAAAATGTGGAACTAGCCTCAATGCCCATCAGTTAATGGGTAGATAAAGAAAATGTGGAATATATACACCATGGAATACTGCTGAACCATAAAACAGAATGAAATAATGGTCTTGACAGAAACTTGGATAGAGCTGGAGGCCATTATTCTAAGTGAAGTAACTCAGGAATGGAAAACCAAGTATCATATGTTCTCATTTATAGGTGGGAGCTAAGCCATGAGGATCCAAGTCATAAGAATGATACAGTGGCCTTTGGGACTACAGCAGGAAGGATGCGAGGGGGGTGATGGATAAAAGATTACATATTGGGTACGTTGTACAATGCTGAAGTGGTAGGTAAACCAGAAGCTCCGATGTCACCCCTAAAGAAATTATGTAACCAAAACCACCTGTATCTCAAAAACTATTGAAATAAAATTTAAAAACATTACTGATAAACTACTTATATATACATGCACACACACATATATGTGTAAGTTAAACTGAGAAGCTCCTATTCAGAAAATTTGCTGTGCTCATAAAGGGTATGCTATTCAGCCATTTAAAAACTGAAAAAGTAAGAAGGTACATACCCTGTAGGGATAATTGTGTTTTTCAATAACTACTGTTAATAAACATAATTCTATAAAATACCATATTTTACACCATTAAAATATGTTTATGGAAAGACGCAAAAGATTATGATGTGCATATATTCCTATAGTAAATTAAGTCCTGATCAGCTGATTATTCAAATATTATCTGATCTGCATTCCCTCTACATTCCCATAGTCGTGGTTATATGAATAGGAAATTAATGTTGGAAGTAGTTTCAACTGGGTTTTCAGTTAAACAAATGAGAAAACCGCATATCTGCTTATATCCTGCTTTCCATATTGGAGAACTTCAGGCATTTGTTGACTTAGCCAATGGATAAAACATTGAAACTTTAATACCAAGGAACCAAATGTGTTGTTGAGGTATTGCTTTTATACAATTCTTTATAGGGATTACTATGGGAGTGGTAAGATTACTCTGGTTTTGTATTTATTTAAACATTTGACTGAGTGCTGGATACAGTGGCTCATGTTTGTAATACCAGCACTTTGGGAGGCCAAGGTGGGAGTATCCACTTGATCACAGTTTTAACACCAGCCTGGGCAAAAAGTGAGACCCTGTCTCCACAAAAAGAATTTTTAAAAGCCCAGCTAAGTGGCATGAGCCTGTAGTTCCAAGCCTTGAAAGGCTTAGGTGAATGGGTCACTTGAGCCTGGGAGGTTGAGTCTGCTGTGAGCTAGGATTATGCCACTGCACTTTAGCCTGGGTGACAGAGCAAGACCCTGTCACAAAAAAACAAAAACAAAAAGGATAGCTGAATAATCATGTGGCAGAGGGCTGCTCCCAGCCTCTTCCCCTCTCAGTGCATTCAACTCATCCCCACAGTCTGTTCTGGCCAGGAGTGACAGATGCTGAGCACCTTGGGGTTTCATTTCTAACTAAACTCAGGAGAAACACTGTGTAAGGCCAGCACCCTACCAGAAGGCATCTTTTAAAATGGGTTTAGTCTAGCCAAGATGTGTCTCTCTGATCCTTCTATCGTTCGAAGTGTAAAGAGTATTCCTGCCCCTTAATAGTGACAGCTAATAAATGGCATCCATCATTTCTGTCATCAGATCAGTATTGCAGTGCCTTGGGAGTGAGCATGAAGTCTGATTTTTGCAATGGAACGCTGAAGAATGAGCCCGAGTCAGCTGCACAAGTGCAGAAGAGGCTGTCACCTTTCTCCTCATCCCAAACTTGGGGTGCTCAGTGCAGAACGGACAGCAAGCAGCTGTGCCCTGTTTGGACATTAGCATAGGAACCCACCTGCATAGGCTGTATTTGTTTCAAAACAATTTGGAGCCATTCTAGTAGCTCAGTGGGACATTTTTAAATAAATAGAAATATTTTATTAACTGACAACAAAAAAACACTGCCTTTTAAATGCATGTAGTATTGTTTAAAGAGTATTTACAAAATTGTAACCTCAATGTTTTCTTGCAAAAGAAGCAGAAGTAAGTACAGAGACACTTTCAAATGAAGAACCACTGAGAAACAAAATATAAGTAGTATAACATTTACTTATGTACCTTTTTAAAGATTATACAAGAATCAATTTGCATCAGGCTTTCCAATTTATTAACATTAACAGGATTTCCCTCTAAGGAAAGTTTTCACATAAATGTTGAAGAGATTCTTAAAACTGAAAACTTTTCTGTATTTGGTAATCTACTGGGATTCCAATCCAATGTGCTTTCATATATTTATAAGGTCTGTCTACATTGTGGATTATCATGGATCTTCCAGCAAAGATCATGTAAATGAAGGCATTTCTACATTCTATATATTCATAGATTTTATTTCAGAAATGAGTTCTTATCCTCATGTGGAAGTGGAACAACTGCAGACCTTACCACATGCTTATTTATAAGGATTTTCTCCATTGAATCCCTTCATGTTTTCAAAGAAATGAAAAAGGTGAAGGCTTTACCATGTTTCTTAAGATTATGTCATTTTTCTCCATAGTAAATATGAATATGTCTTTGAAAGCAAATGGGAAAATGAAGTTTATTGAAACATTTTTACATTCATGTTTCTTTTCTGGTAAAAGTTATTTCTAAGTTTTCAAAGAGAACTGGGAACATTGCATGATTTCTTATATTTCTTTCCTCAATAGGGTTCTGTCCAGTGTGCGTTATTTCATGAATTCTAATAAACTAGAGCACATGATGGCTTTACCACATTTCTTACATGAGAATAATGTTTTTGAAGACAGCCCAGTGAACTCACATTGTCCTGTGTTGGTTTTGTTGTTTCTCCTTCCCCAGGAATGAGTTGGAAGAGTACTTCTTGGAGCTAATTGATTATAATTTCATCATTCCTGGAAAGGTTTATACCAGATACTACTTCTATCTTCGTGCCTTGGCACACAAGCATGGCCTGTGTTTGCCAGTTTACCTTCTTGAGAGAGAAAGAGCATGGAAGCTACAGGTAAGGCATGAAGTTACTAAGTGGGTTTTCAGTCAAACACCAATGCCAACGTCTGTGACTAGGTCATATTAAGTAATGATTAGAAAAATGGAAAGCTTCAAAATTAACTAACATACTGAAGCGCTTATTAACCTTTTGGCATTCTGTTTTCTGTATCTTTTATGGTTTTTATAAAGATTCACATTATTTGAAAATTATAGATATTATCTCTTTTGTGACCATAATTCAGAATGTTTTAATCAAAATTTAATTCTTAGTGAATTTGAACCTTTTGAACCTTTGCCTTTGCAAATAATCACACATAAATGATTTCTTGCCATTATATTTCTACTGATGTCTACATACATAATGCAGTTACCCCTCTTGACTACTTTATATTACTCAGTTTGCAAATTTATGTCATTTTCTACGGTGTCATTTTCTGCACTGTACCACAGTGCAGTCAGTCCCATGGGTTTGTCAGACAAACCATTAGTGCCTAAGCTGAGAGGCCTGCACTTAGTATGAGGTGTGCGTATCTCAAGGACTGGATGCAGGAAGTACATGGGATTTTACTGGAAATGATAACTTTTGTGGGACAAACTAATATTTATGGTTTGTGACTTTTGGTAAGTACACAGCAAAATTACAGCTGACAAGGATGAACATTTAAAATAGGCATGTTCTGTGGCATCATGGAAGTATTTTGAAATAATACATTAATTAGGGCTAGTGAAGTAGTGCCTTTTGATGCTTTAGTCATTAGACTTCACTTACATTTCAGTACAACCCAGCACATGCCTGCCTCGTTAAAATTTGCTTTGAGTATATAATAACTTATAGATTCGGTAGAATTTGAATAGATTAATAAACTAACTTTTTGTGAAAATGTGCGTTCATTATGTTTAAGGAACAAGTGCATTGGTAACAGATGATACTGTTAGAAGCCTGTTACAGTACTGTGACATTTTTGGAGCCCAATTTTTAAGTAACTTAATAAAGCAAGCTCCCCTTTGCTCCAGCAATCTAATTCTAGCCCTCAAAGGAGATTACCTTAGTGAGCTGCCAGAAGTTGGCAGTGTAAACCTCAGCCTCAGTAGCTGTAGCTGAACTATCTAAAGAAGTCTGCATGTGTGGCTTATCATCAGTGGTGATAGTTATAAGGTTGGAACCCTTTTATAATTGTACCTTTTTTCTATTTGACATTCTTAGGCTTTTTCAAGGATGGAACAAGATGAAGTCTTCTCTACTGCTGGCCAGAAAAGGTCTTTGAGTGCTGATGATTTGATTCATCTTCAGCGCTCTAAGGCCATCCTCTCCTGAAGAAAGAAATGAGGGGTAATGTAACATCTGAACCCCTCATCAAAAAAGACAGGAAAATACCACCTCTCCTGCTAAAGAACTAGAAAAATTTGTATTTTCAAAAGAAGAAACACCTCAATTCCAGTTAACTCAAGGACAGCTAAGATTGCACATCCTAGTAAAGAATGGGACCTTGTCAGGGGAACAACACAGTCTTACACTCTTGTGTCCCTTTTCATGTAAAGTGTTATAGAAACCACTCCAAAGTGAAGGCTCCTTCTGCCCACACATAGATACTAGCTTAGTGTGTGGGCTGATAGCTGTGAACTATGTAAGGCTTTTGTTTGTTTGATTTGAGATGAGTCTCACTCTGCTGCCAGGCTGGAGTGCAGTGGCACAATCTTAGTTCACTGCATTCTCCACCTCCTGGGTTCAAACCATTCTCCTGCCTCAGCCTCCCTCCTTAATTAAATTTTTTAAGTAGCTGGGATTTACAGGTACACCAGGCCTATGTAAAGCTTTTAAAACAATAGTTTAAATTTTTTAGATTTTAAAGGTAACTTTTCTTTTTTTTTTTTTTAATATTTTTTCTTTCTCCCCAAATTGCTGCATATGCGTTTGAAATCAACGCAGTATTAGTATTAACACATGTCAGAGGTGTCATGAATAGCACAGTCTTTTCTTCCTGGAGATCCTTCCCTGCAGGTGTCCCAGCCTGCTCACAGCAGCCATAGAAGGGGCCTGTATACTGAGAGAAGCTGCAGAGCCCTGGAAAGCTAGGAATGCACAGGCAGACATTGGTGAGAGTTGAGATGGGAGGTTAGTTGTGATGTCCTCTGCAATTGTTATTGTCCTGAGGCTGTTTCTAGATATTGTCAAACAAATTCAGATGTAGGTAGGACATGACTTAATTCTAAATTAGTATTGCAGTGGGAAAGCACCAAGCATCAGATCTGCTAGCATCTCAAAAGAGGGGGAAAAGGGCTGTTTATATGGAGGAGCAAACAAGATTAGAAGGAAGGTGGGAGGAAGAGTGGAGAATGGCAAAATCAGATTCAGGCTTAGGGAATGTTTCACCCACACATCAGCCCATTCTTAGGAGGGGTATAAACAGAGTTTGTATTTTGGCTCAGACTGAAGGCAGAGCAGAGTCCGGGAGGCTGGGGAAAGGAGACAAACTTATGCAGTGTATTTAACAGGTATTTTGTTGTGAACACTGCAGACAAAATTAATCGTTTATAAGGGGAAAATGAAAAATTAGAGAGTGTGTGCATTTGTGATACCTAAAAGAGGAAGGATCATCTAAGTCATAATGAAAAGGGTATTTATTTGCCGTAAACTCTTTCTGCAGAACACAAAGGATGGAGAGTTTTTAACCATGCCTGTTTACCAAGATTGACTACCCACCCCATCTTTTTCCCCACTTTACTTTGTCCTCTACAATTTTTTCCATTTGGTTTTTCTGAGTTGTATCCTATATAATAACCTGGTAAACATAGGTAAAGTTTCTCTGCTAAGTTCTGTAAGTAGTTTTATGGAATTGTTAAACTTGAGCAAGGGAGTTATGGAAGCCTATGATTTATGGACAGAAATACAGATGGAATTGCTGGAACCCAGGAGGCAAAGATTGCAGTGAGCCGAAATTATGCCAGTGCACTCCAGGGTGACAGAATGAGACTCTGTCTCAAACATAAATAAATAAATATTTTAAATAAAATCTTTTAAACATTTTAAATAAAATCTTGTTTTAACCAATTATTGTTTGTATTCATGTAATTTTGTTAATATAAAAAGACCCACCTCTGGACAGACTATTATGATTTTCTTCTTACTCATATCCAACTAAACTATAGCACCCTGTTTTCTAAAAAAAAAAAAAAAAAAAAAAGTTTCTATTAACTAATCTTATTAGTTTAGACTTAGACTTTCTGTTTTGCCTAAATATTATCTTTCTTAAACAACCTGGTCATTTTATTTTAGGACAAAAAATTTACCACACAAAATTCCTTCTTATATAAAGTTGCTTTTTTTTCCGCCTTCTTTATCAAAAATACCTCTTTATATATTTGACTTTCTTTACATCTCATATTTCCTGGTTCCTTTTACCTCATTTTATACATAACTTTTATGGAAAGTTTGAATTAGACAAAGATAATTTACCTTCTAATAAGAACGTTTCAAAAATGTTTTCTTACATTTTTTTAAGTTGGAAATTACCCAGCTAGTTAATAGCTGTTAATAACAATATATACCAAATCATATGACGTGTATGTTTACGACCATTCCATTACATTTACAAAATTATTTAATATTTTATCTAGATTATGAAACTGTGATAGTTTTTAAAGTAAATTCCCTGTTAACCATTTTTATTTCAGGAGCTTAAGTAATTTATTTTTTATTTTTTATTTTTATTTTTTGCTTTTATTGCCCAGGCTGGAGTGCAGTGGTGCAATCTCGGCTTACTGCCACCTCTGCCTCCTGGGTTCAAGTGATTCTCTTGCCTCAGCCTCCCAAGTAGCTGGGACTACAGGCACCAGCCACCACACAGGCTAATATTTTGTATTTTTAGTAGAGAGAGGGTTTCACCATGTTGGCCATGCTGGTCTCGAACTTCTGATGAGGTGATTGGGCCTCCCTCGGCCTCCCAAAGTACTCAACAAATTACAGGCGTGAGTCACCATGCCCAGCCTAAGTAATTTTCTTAGGGATAAATATAAGGGTATTTTTACCAATAACTCAGAATGTAGATATTTTCTTTAAATCAAATTGTTCCATGTCTTATTTATCAAAAATTACACACAAGCAAACATCATTCTATCTTGGGCTGGGGGTTTTATAGTTTTATAACCCTTATAACAAGTTTTATAGTATTCTGCAGGAGTAAGTATGAAATCACTTGATCAACAAATGCAAACAAAAATACTGGAAATTATTACAGCATTTCTAATATTTTTGAATAACTTGAAAACCAGCTTATTTATAAAACATTTTACTTAAGTCACATACATGTGAAAAAGCATGTCTATTCTTATTGATAAAACAGTTGATTTATGTACTTATATTTTTATTTAAGTCAATGAATTAGAGCTTTCCATTTATAGTAGAGAAATATTGCATACACAACACATAAATACATAAATCTATTAGGCATGCTGACAGAAATATGTCTTACAGATTCATAAGACCTCTTTTTTCTATCCTAGAGAAATTTTTTTGTATTTGTATTTTTATTTTTTTTATTTAAATACATTTTTGGGGAACAGATGTTTGGTTAGACCACAACAAAATCACCACCACAGAAAAGATGGTTCTTTAAATTTTATTTCAAAATGAATAATTGAAATGATTTTGATGTTTTTATTTCGAACACTTGGTACTAGTGCTGGCTCGGTATTGAAGAAATATTGATTAAGCATTTAATATCACTTGTTATTTGGAACATATGTAGAAAATGGTTCCTGCTTTCTTGTTCTTTAGTGGTGAGTTTTGAGATTTTGGTGCACCCATCACCTGAGCCGTGTACACTACTCAATGTGTAGTCTTTTATCCCTCACCCACCTTCTACCCTTTCCTTCAAGGCCCCAAAATCCATGGTATCATTCCTATGCCTTTGCATCCTCATAGCTTAGTTCCCACTTATGAGTGCGAACCTAAGATGTTTGGTTTTCTATTCCTCAGTTACTTTACTGAGAATAATGGTCTCCAGTGTCATCCATTATATTGTTCCTTTTCATGGGCGAGTAGTATCCAGGGCATCAGTGAGGTCTAGGGAACTCCAAGGCTACTCAGAGTAGGTGGGATAGAGACATGGGTGAGAGTAGATAATTCTTATTCTCTAGGCCCTCCCTGCTTCATGAGTGCAAGCTGCTTTGGCACCTATGGGTGGCATCTGTCAAGGTTGCTGGGACTCAGGGATGCAAGGACGGAAGAGAGAAGGACCCCCTTCTCTCCCTCACATACCCAGGGTATATCTACTAGGAAGACAGTGGAACCAGGTGTGCCTGCTCCCCTGTTTTTAGATGGGTAGCCACCCATCTTCCATCTGTACCCCTTTGAAATGCATCGTGAACCCCTGGGACACCTTTGAAAAAATATCTTTTTCTTTCTCCTCTTCTCTCCTGTCCTCACAGATAGGTAATTCTGTCTCTGTACAATGAGACACTTTCCTCAGATGCACCATCCAAACTGAGAAAAGTTAATTTTTCAAACCTTAAACAGGTTGACTTAGGATTGGGCTCAGGGAAAGGGAACCCAGAAGCACAACATGCTGGCCAAAGGGTCAAGTTTGTCAAGTTGTTTTTTTTTTTTTTTTTTTTTTTTCTTTTTAACCAGTGGGGTTTTCGGCCTCCCTGGTAAAAGGCCTTGGTACTTCTGAACTGTCCTTACCCCTCCCCTTGTTTTGATTCACTTTGATTTGTTTTGTTTTGTTTGAGACAGTTTCTCTCTTGTTTGCCCAGGCTGGAGTGCAATGGCAAGATCGCAGCTCACCAACCTCCACCTCCCAGGTTCAAGTGATTCTCCTGCCTCAGCCAGCCTCCCTAGTAGCTGGGATTACAGGAGCCTGCCACCATGCCCAGCTAATTTTTTGTATTTTTTGTATTTTACCATTTCCCTTCTGTGGTGTCTCCCAGTCTGTCTTCAAGGAGGCCTGAACTTGGAAGTGGTCTTGGGCGCAAAAAGACAGGGCTCAGGATAGCCTTCCTGATTTGGCTGAGGAGCAGGAAACAGTCTCTTAACATGCAGAGAGAGTCCAAGAAACTCTTTTCTCTTTAGTCCATTTTCTTGTGCTTCAGTCCTTTGCAGCCCACTGACACCTCATTTCCTGATAAGTAGAGAGGTGGCCTAAACAGGTGGGCATACTCCATTGCTTTTTTAATCTCTTTGTCCTTTTATTGCTTGACGCTGGATGTGGGCATGGTCATGGCAAGCAACGTGTAGAACGAAGTAAATAATCCCCTTGCTTGGGTGATGCTCTGAAAAGGTCAGCTCCTAGGAGCTGGCAAGTACCAGGGAAATCATGGCATGTGAGGAGTTCAGAATGGTGAATTCAAAAAGTTGTTTATGAGCTCCTGGGCTCATCTCTGTGATAGTTAATTTTTTCCTTTCGTTTTTAGTACACATGTAATTAATTGTACATGTTTATGGGATACAGGTGATATTTCCATATTTGTATATAATGTGTAAATTATCAAATCAGGGTAATCAGCGTATCCATCACCTCAGACTTTTTTTTTTTTTCTTTGTTTTGTGAACATTCAAAATCCTCTTTCCTAGCTTTTGGAAAATAGGTAATGAATTATTGTTAACCACATTCACTCTATAGTGTTTCAGAACAGAGTTCATTCCTTCTATCTAGCTGTAATTTTGTATGTTACCCAGGCTTTTCCTAGCCTTCTCTCCTCTCTACGCTTTCTAGCTCTAACACCAACAATTATACTCTCTACTTTCATGAGTTCAAAATTTTTCTAGCTCCTACATATGAATGAGAACGTCTTTCCGTGTCTGACTTATTTTGCTTAACATAATGTCCTCCAGGTTCATTCATGTTGCCATGAATGACAGGATGTCATTTATATGGCTAAATAATATTCTGGTGTGTGTGTGTGTGTGTGTGTGTGTGTGTGTACACTTCCTTTATCCATTTATTTGTTATGGGCATTTAGGTTAATTCCACAATAGCTGTGATTGTTAATTTTATGTGTCAACTTGGCTACAGGGTGCCCAGATACCTGGTCAAACATTATTCTGGGTGTGTTTGTGGAGTGTTTCTTCTTGAGATGAGCATTTGGATTGGCAAACTGAGTAAACTAGATTGCCCTCCCCAATGTGGGTGGGATTATTCAATCAACTGAAAACCTGAATACAAAAGAAAGCCTCAGCAAGAGGGGTCTTCTCTTTTCTGACTGCTTGAGAGGGGACATTGATCTTTTCCTGTCTTTGGACTTGAACTAAAACATAGGCTCTCTTTGGGTCTCAAGACTACTGAATTTTGGACTGGAATTCAACAACCAGTTCTCCTGGTTCTCAAGCCTCCAACATGACTAGAACTACACCATTGGTTCCCCTTCATTTCCAGCCT